ATTTAAAATTATGTATAATTTTATATATGTAGCAGTTGCAGTTGCTGATTCAGTTACCATTCAGGGAAAGGATCGTGAAGCTATAGTAGTTCTACAAGAATGTCACTTCAGTGCTCAGTAAGAGCCAGAAAGCGAATAGATTGTTAGAAATGACTGGGAAAGTAACAGAGAACAAAACATAAAACATATTTGCACCAGTGCATAACACCATCGCTGCTGTTTCTTGATTACTGCATATAATCTGGTCCCTCCCTCCCTCCCCGCAAAAGGGTGTAAGAGAACTAGAAAGGATATGGGGAAGGATGGATGGATTAGTAAAAAACTGCCTCCATAGTCTGTGATGTCTGAGACAGTACGATAGAGAGCTGTAAAGTCATAGAGAGCTTGGAGAACATAAATCGGGACAGAGAAAACTCACTGTCTCCTCCAGCACAGGAACTAGGGACTTCAAATGAAACTGGCAGCTCATGAGTTCAAAGCAAGCAAAAAGGAGGACTGCTTCATGCAACACCTAATGAAGCTGCACAACTATTTTCCAGTGCCAGCTTGCAGAGGCTACAGTTCATGTGGGTTCAAAAAAATAGCTGGGCAAATTCACCTGAGGAAAATCCTTCAAAGGTTATTAAGCAGAAAGAAGAATAGCCAGCTACTTCCTGGATCAGGGAGCCAGTTGTCAGCAGCTTCATTAGTACAAAGGAGTAGCATCATTGTACCTTTCTTCTTTCTTAAGTATCATCTCCATTAGCAGGTGTCAGACATGATAAGTTATGTCAACCTTTGATCTATGTTCCTGCACACGTGTCTCACCCCTTGCTTGGACTAGTCTCGCTGTGCCTTCATTGATTCAAATGGCAGATACTGAGACATGGGAGCTAACAGCTACTAACCACCTGAAGCCCTGTCTAGGCTTAATGGTTCTCCATGTGGCAGAATTCTTTGTTACCAAGTTTGCTTGTCTAATTCTGCAGAAGGTTTTAATATAAATTCCTAGACTGGAGGAGCACAATGAAGTTGCGAAGGCAAGCACCTTCAAACCAGCAGTCGGATTACTGTGGTGCATTCTCCACTTTGGATATACTAAGAGATGTTACTTAATTAGCAGCTCTGTGTAGCACAACAGCCTTCCCTCTTGGATAACCAGCATGGATTGTGTCCTTTGGAGGAACCAGGACTGCATAGTGAAGAAGATTCTGCCACAGTGCAGCAGATGAAGAGTTTGGTCTTGTGAGCAGAAGATATGTTCCCCCAGTTAAGCTGACTGATGCTCTGGAAGACTGGATTTCTTTCCTGACTCTTCCCTGTGGTTTCTATGTGATTTGTGGGATAGACAGACAGTTTTATCTGCTCCCGGCTCCCTAATAGCCAGGCACTTACAGCTGCAGCACATATGAGGTACAGGAGCAAACACACCATTTGCAGGACAAGTGTCCAGGCTTTTCATCAGGAGCAGTCGACAAAGGTGTCCTGGTGAGGGTCTCTTTCACTAGTATCAAGAAGGCTAGCAAGGAGGAAGCAAGCTCTGAGCTTGTGGGGAGTAAAATGGTATTTTGCAAAGTCTTTTGTGTCACATTTATCAGAGTTTTGGCCTTTTTTAGACTGCCCTTGGTGGTTAAACACACTGGAAGAGTTATCGCACACAAAATTTGCACGTTGGACTCTGAGGAGGAAGGGAAGAAATGTCTTCAGCTAACTAATTAGATCACCTAACCAGGGTGATCACTCAGGATAGCTGCTCTCCTGGGAGAAGAAGATGTCTTCGAGAGAGAAATTCAGATTGGTCTGTATTGCACATGCAGATGCCAATGGGTGGCTTATGTTAGTGTTACACTTAGGCTCAGGCAAGTACTTTTGAAGCAAATCTTCCTGCCACCCCCACTACCACACTTTGGTCACACTCATCATCTTAGGACACCTGAGCTGAAGTCACTTGGGATGACACTAAACAGCAAGCAGTGCTCCAGGAGAGCCTCTGGTGCTCTGCAGCCACAGCGGGCGCAGCCCAGGGGAGCAGCTGAGGGCTCCTCTGAAGGTAGGTGACTAAAAGCCCTGACCTGGTTCCTTGGCATCTGCTGCTTCAATTCACTCTGGCCCATGAATTGCTCCTACCATGGCTATGCCATCGTACCAGCTAATGGAGATACAGCCTTTCTCCACGCTGCCTGTCTGGGAAAGACAGGGAGGCTGTGCTTCTATTGCAGGTTCCACTGATGCTAAAATTAGGTGGCATAAATATGCCCCTTATCTTCCAGGGACCGACTAGAGAAATGCTGATTGCTCTCAACTATACCCAAGGTCACTGGAAAGTGTGATTGAGCAAAGACAGTGCTGAAAAATGCCAAGTACTTTGAAAAATCGGAGCCTATCCATCTCAGAGTGGGTGCCTGCAATGAGTTAATGCTTTTTTTGGGCATTGTTTCAGCAGCTGCAAAGAGGAGATAATGACCTCACTGGTGCCTTGTGAAGATAAGCTCATTAAAACTTCTGTGGGATCCTGATATTACTGTGATAAGTACTGCAGAGAATCTCATTAGTAAATTTAACTCTCCATTCAATGAAGTGTTTAGAAGTTGAACACCTGCAATCATGCACTCAGTGGTGAGGATTAAAAGAAATACTGAATTAGCTATTCAATAAATAAACTCTGTGCTGCACTAGGCAGAAACTCCCAAGACCAGGCGCAGTAAGTGGAGGCTATACCATAATGAGGGTGCACACAAGCACTGACTTCAGGTCGCACGGGAAACCTCAGTTCTGACATTGCCTAACTCTGGAGGATTTGGCTCCACAGCCTTTAGTTTCTTTTTGGACGTGGTATTTTTGTATGCAGCAGAAACTATTTTGTGAACTACCTGTGGGGCTCTCTAGAATGAAACATGCCTTAAAATTTTAAGATCAACCATGATACTCATATAAAGTGTCTTAATTGTGTGCTTTCAGCATGAAGACTACTGAAATAATGTGTAGTAAAAGTGTATCTGTTTCTCAAACTTCTGTATCTAGCGCTGATACCTGGAGCAAGCAAAACAGTGGTGTCAGCCAAGAATGAGTAAAGATGGCATGAGAGTTTGAATCAAACAAGTGCTGTGAACACGAGAGCACACTGCTTTCTGAATCCGCTATGCTCTTTGCAGCACTTGAGAATATTGGAATATACCTGTAAAACCAGAATGACTGTGTAGAAGCAAAATTCCTCACAAGAAACTTTCAAAACTTGTAACTTGCTTTGCATGCTAATTTCTGGTTCCCTGAGGTTCCCACACATGAGCTGAATTAATAAAATGTGCTTGTTTCACATTTTATCAACACATTTCTGTGTCATTAGTCTCCTTTTAAATGCTTGGCATTATCTTTTTGCTTTAGGTTCTGGATTTGGAGCATCCACAAAAGCCATGTGTTTAGGGATGCGATACTGGAAGCCGGAAAGGCTGGAGTCACTTATTGAAGTGAGCATTGAATGCGGACGAATGACTCATAACCATCCTACAGGTAATGTCCGCTGACGTATTGGTTTGCTGAAGTTCCTAAGGCTGCTTTTCACCTCTGCGGGGATTAACGTGGCTCCTGTGAATTCACCTGGTTAAACTGCTTCTGCACTGCAGAATCCAAGGCCTTGGTTTGAATTTTGCTGGGACAATAAATACATGTATATATTACTTATATAGGCTTATGTATTTGCTTGTATATTATGCAGACAGCAACCTCAGGCATAGGAGTTTTCCCTTCTAAAATCCGAATAACTAAACACAGCCTGTCTTGTCCAAAGCATATTCGTGTCACTTGCCCGGGTCGAATTTTGAGATTCATGTACATCTAGATGACTCACTGGTATCATGCAAGTTTATGGTTCAGGGGATAATAACATTTTTCTCTTGACAGGTTTTGTCATATCCAATCACTGTAGGTAAAGGTAGAAAGCCAAAGAAATCTAACTCCACATATTTTAGGACACCATCTGAAACATTCTCTTAGCAAAACATAAATAAGTAGAGTTAATGTTGTTTCGAATATTCAGGTCTGTCATTCTGATAATTTTATGCTACGTAAGCGTGTATTCATTCTGTCTGCTTTAAACAGCAATAAATAAAACCATAATGAATAGTGACATGTTCAACACTCAATGCTCTGAAGCAGTCAGAAAAGCCATCAGGATGGCATAAAATTAGAGGAACAGAATTCAACGCAAAGCAGAAAATATCATTAAGCCAACATATAAAGTGCATGGTGCATTAACAGCAGTAAGACTGCTTGCAGTCTGGGTCTCCCATGTCAGAAAGGACTTACTAGAGCCAGAAAATGGCAGCAAGGAGCATCCAAGTTACCAAACAACTTCCGTACAAGGAGAAATTACATCCAGAAGGAGGTTTCAGCTGGGAAAGGGGACAAATGGCATGGCGAGGAGGCGGGGAGGAGAGGGGTGGAAGGGCCACCGTGGACCTCACTGCCATCCTGAAAGGTGCCAGGGAAATGTCAGTTGTGATTCTCATAACTCAAAGACTGAGAAAATCCAACTGGCATGTCAGTCAGGACTGAAACAAACAGACAAAGGAAATACTTCCCTGTGTCATGCATAGTTAAGCCGCAGACCTCGCTGCTACAGGCAGCTGCAAAGTCCACAAGTACGCCTGGGTTCAAAGGGGCTCAGGCAAGCGGACAAGAAGGGCTGTCGCTGTTAAAAGCAATCAAGCTGTGTAATTAAAACTGCCCCTAAGCTAGTCTAGAAGCTCTGGGGAGCAGCAAACCAATTAGGCTCACTCTGTACTGGCATTATGCTCAGAGCCAGAAACCTCGGCTGGGGCTTGCTTTCTTCCCTGGAGAAGGGCAGCAGGCTACGCGAGGGCTGCCGGGAGCAGGGGGAGCAGGGCAGTAGCAGCAGGGGGAGGGGGCTACCTGGGGAGCTGGCAGGAAGAGACTGCCAGTCCCCCAAAAACCTTCTGGGCACGCCCCGACCTCTACCACCCTCTGGACTGACTTGTCCCGCTGCCCCCTGCTAGCCCTTTGCTTCACCCTCTAAACCCTCTGCCACCACGCTCCTGCTGA